GCGTACGGCTGCGGCATTGTGCATGGTATTGTTCAACAGGAAATCTCCCGAGAGTGCCCTAACCATTTCCTAATCTTTCTCTGAAGCCAAAGACTTCAGATAATTAGCGAGCTCCAGCGGTTGGGAAAGCAGGTTGCACCCCGTAGAGATCGAAAGGGTAACATTCCTCCTCCGATGGGGATCTTCAAAAGGAGCAGCAAAATTTTGCCCCAAATTCCCATGAACTGGGGACTGGGAGGAGGAATATCTCCTTCGTGATCAGATGCGGCCGGTGGAGATGATGTAGCAATTGCTGGTGAAAGATGGAAATGATGTAGCAATTGCTGGTGTTGGTGAAGATGGAAATGAAGCTGATGGAGTTGAAGAGTAAGAAACAACTGCATTACTAGATGAAAAGATTAATATTTATAAATATAATGACATAACATTACTCAAATATTTTACGAAAAAATAAACTATAAAATGAATGGCATGAAATTTGAGTTAATAAGTCAATACTAAAAAAAATATAGAACCGAAAATATAACATAAATTCAAAATCCAAAAAAAATTAACGTAATATTCTTATGTAAAAGTACAACATAACGTATATAATTTAAGTAAATATTATTCAAAGTAAAAGGGAAACATAAGTCTATAACCTCATTCAATAATGAGATTCTATTTTAGTAACATCACTTATTATATATCAAGTTTATTCATGACTCATTGTTTCTAATATTAGGAGTTGTAATTTCAAAACTAGCTAGAATAATAACACAATCATGCTAAATAAAGAAAATAAAGTAAAAAAAATATGAGGAACTACATGGAATCACAAGAAATAAAGGTTGGAAAATGAGAATACTATTTAAATATTAAAAAATAATGTATCATTTTAACATAGTTAAGTTTGCATATAACCTCATCCAATAACAAAGTTCAACTTTAATGACAATACTTATTATACGTCAAGTTTGTGGATGACTTATTCTTTCTAAGATTACGAGGCATAATTTTTTAGAAGAATTAGAATAATAACATAGCTAAATATAATAAAAAAAATAAAAACATAATTAAGAAAGAAATAAAATATGAGAAATTATGTAGAAACATATGAAGTAAAGGTTGGGATATAAAATATGGAAACAAAAGATAAATAATGTTAAAAAAGAATTTAAGAATTTAAAATTAAACATAAATTAAAAAGAAAAAAAAAGAATAGATATGAAAAGTAAATTAAAATGAAAAGAAAAGAGATTCAAAAAATAGCCTTGCAATTGCACCATGTAATTACCAGCAATTCTCAGCCCCCTTGATAATTGGAGAGTATAGTTACACCCCCCTCAATTACATCCAATACATGCTGACAAAGTAATTATTAGATCAGACAAACGTGCCAAAACTATGTAATTACACCCAATTTCATCCAAATTCAATTACAAGGTGACTTTTCAAACATGCCCTAAAAGCACGTGTTTAGAGAAGCTAATGAAGTGACAGACTAGTTAGCAAAAAATGCATGTAGCTTGGACATTTTTGGAAATCTTTTGGTTTACCCGTTCCCTCGCTGTTATCATTCTTGCTTTTGAAAGAGATAAGAGCCGTTAAAATGGGTTTGGCCTGTGAGGCCAGCCCAATGCAGCCCGCTACTTGGGTAGGGTTGGACTAGGATTTTTTGAGCCCATTTAAAACTGAGGCTTATAAGCCCAGCCCAAGTCAGCCTACTGGCCCTTGAGGCTTGACAGAGGCTGGGCCTGGGCCGGCCCGTGGGCCAAAAATTAATTAAATTCAAATTAGTTAGTTATTAAATATTTAAAAAAAGTAAAAACTAAAAAAACTATTAACTGTAATCCCCATTCCCCAACCCTAGTTTGCTCATTTACCCTTCCATATCGACTAGAATTTAAATTTTTGACATGCATGTAATATGACAAAATATTTTTCTTTTGCTTAATTAATAACGAACTAAAAAAGTTTTAGGTGGCCAATAATAATCTTTATTCAAAAGAAAATATTACTTTAAGTGGCCAATGATTAGTTTGGATTACTTTAATATATTATTAATATCTAAACTGCTGTTCATTATAGAAAAAGATCAATTTTAAACACACACACAAAGAAATATTTTACCACTAGAAAACTTTTAGGAATTTTAAAACTTTTTATGGACTATAATGATGAAATCAACAAATGATGTTAATCCTAAATTAAAAAACCTCAGCATATAAGCTTATTGAAGCAATCCCTGAATCTGAGGAAAATGAAAGAAAACTATTAAGAAAATATTCTTGTAACTTTAAAAAAGAAGAGCTAGAGATATAGAGAATTTGCATTTCAATTGTGAGATTCCTCGTCAAATATCAAATTTTTATGCTCAAAACAAACAGAAGTTGTTTACATGATTAATTGACTATGTCACGAAAAATTATTTAAGGATTTAAAGACACTTCTTTTCTACAAAAAAATTGAAGGGCACGCCCGCCCTAGCTCGCGGGCCTCTTAGGGCTGAGTTGGGCTGGCCATTTTAAGGCCCATTCATATGGCTGACCGGTCCTTCCTAGCCCACGAGGCTTGGGCTGGCCTGGCCCGTTTTGATAGCTCTAAAAGAGATAACATAGGGACTATGTTACCTAGACTGGTCTCCCTTTGTAATGACACTTAAGTAGCTCTTTTTTTTAATCTTTTTTATTTTAATAAAAATCTTTTATTACCAAAAAATGGTCCAAAATCGTTCCTTAATTTGGTTTCACTCAAAATGATCCCCAATGTAAGGTGAAACACTTAAAATTGTCCTCCAAGTTTTTTTTTTGGTAATTAACATTTTCATTTCTCAACAAATATTTACATGCTGTTCTCAAGCTTAATTTGGACAGTCATTCCATATTTTAGCTCCACTCCTGGCTTCACTAACTACTATTACAAGAAACAATTTAGTCTAACTACTATCTATAGAACAATCCTTACATACTAGGATAGTAGTTGAGTTCCCGTAGTCGTCTTTGTTTCCTGTGTTTACTTTCTCCTCTCCCATGTACATCCTGCGTAATTGCTCTGCTTAGAATGGCTTCTGGTCGTTGCACTCCTTTGAAGATCCTGCCATTCCTCTCTTGCCATATGTAATACAGTGTTCCTGCCAGCACAAGTTTATACAACTCAGCTGTTGTGCTCCTCCCTCTGTAGTACTTTCCTGCCCATTCAAGTTCATTTGCCCACATCATTGGTTGTCTCTGGATCCCTTGACATTGCAGCATTGCTGTCCATACTCTCGATGAATAGGTACATTTAAAAACAAATGATCAACTGTCTCCTCTTCACTATTACATAAAAAACATGTTACATCCTCCACATAGCCCAAGCCCCTCAGCCTGTCTTTAGTCATCAGTCTTCTATGTGCAGCTAGGTAGACTATGAAGTTCCATTTTGGTACTCCAACACTGCTGTACACCAGTCTCCTCCATGGTACTCTATCAAAGTCACCCCTCAGTTTCCCATACATACTCTTAATAGAGAAGCTGTTTATCCCCTCTATATCCTCCTCTGTATAACCAGCTTCCTCAAAGTATTGTTTGGCTTTAAGTATCTTCTGTACTATCCAAGAGGCTTGTTTTGGTACAATACTCCACAATGCATTCTGCTTCTTATAATACACATGTATCCACTGCACCCATAACCTATCTTTCTTCTTGCATAGGTTCCATAGGAGTTTACATATGGCTGCCTTATTCCATTCCTCTATAGCGAGCAGATTTAAACCACCAACTGCTTTAGGTTTGCACAAGCTGTCCCATGACAATAGAGCTTTCCTTGATACTTCTACACCCCCAGTCCATAGGAATGTTCTGCATACTCTTTTAATAAGTTGGATTAGTTTCTTTGGCAACACAAACACCTGAGACTAGTATACTTGGATAGAGAATAGCTCACTCTTGATTAACTGAATTCTTCCTGCATATGACAGAAACTTCGATGTCCAGGATTGGATTCTCCCTAGCATCTTCTCAAACAGAGGCTGACACTGTATTAATGATAACCTCTTAGAGCTAAGAGGTACCCCCAAGTACCTAACTAGTAGTGTTCCTTTGACAAAACCCAAGTCTTGTAATATCTTTTGTTGTTGGTCATCATGCACTCCACCAAAGAATATGGAACTTTTATCAGCATTTGCCACTAGCCCTGAAGCCTTTGAGAATTGTTGAAAGCACTGAAATAGTAACTGAACAGATATGACATCACCTCTACAAAACAGTAATAGATCATCAACAAAGCTTAATTGCATTATGTTCGGTTTGCCACATTTAGGATGATAGTTGAAATTAGGATCCTTTTTAAGTGTCTTCAAAAGTCTTGTTAAATACTCCATAACCAGCACAAATAGGTAAGGAGATAGGGGATCTCCCTGTCTCAACCCTTTCTTAGCTTGAAATGGCTTTGTAGGCTGCCCATTAATCATAATGGAGTATGAGACTGTTGTAACACAGCTCATAATCCATTGCATAAATCTCCCTGGCAGCTGTAGATGTGTCAACACTTGCTCTAGATAACCCCACTCCACTGAATCACATGCCTTCTTCATGTCTATCTTCAGCATACATCTGGGAGAGATACCTTTCCTACCATATCCTTTCACTAACTTATAACTAAGTATTATGTTGTCATTTATCAGTCTACCAGGAACAAATACAGACCGACTCTTATCCACCAGTCCATCTATCACTCCTTGTATTCTGTTGGTTAGTATCTTTTATATAATCTTGTAAAGAATTGTGCAACATGATATTGGCCTGTACTCAGTAATTTAGGACTTTTCACCTTAGGAATAAGGGTTACTGTTGTACAGTTGATAGGCTGATACATATTTGATCTTAAAAAGAACTCCATAACTGCAACTGTGATTGTATCTCCTACTACAGGCCAAGCCTTCTTCAAGAATAAAGAATTGAATCCATCACACCCAGGGGCTTTGTTGTCACTGATACCTTTCAGAGCCTGATAAATCTCCCCCTTTGAGACCTCTGCAATCAGTTGTAGTTCATCATGGGACCATCTCTCATAATAGCTGGATTAATAGTAGGCAATTCACTTGCTAATGAGCCCAATAGCTGTTGGTAAAACCCTATCACCTCCTCCTCAATGTCCTTCCTTGTTTGCACTGTGCTCCCATTACCTTTTATTATTCTTCTAATCTTGTTTTGGCTGCATCTGTTTTTCATACTTGCAAAAAAATATGTTGTGTTGGCATCACCTAGCTTTAGCCATTTTACTCTTGATTTCTGTCTCATAATGCTTTCCTCCACCCCTAACCATTTCTCCAGTTGTATTTTCATTACTTTCTCTTTAGCTACTAAGATCTCATCTTGCCCAGGATCCCTCATTTGTTCTTGTATAGCAGTTAGTCTTTGTCTACACACCTTGATCCTATCACCCACATCATTATATTCATTTTTGTTTAAGACCTTCATGACATGTTTTACTCGTTTGAGTTTCTGCCAAATACTCCTCATAGTGTGTGGTTCCTGTGGCCTCTCCCATGCTTCATTAACTATCTTCATAAAGTCATCATGCTCAGCTAGGTGGTTTAGAAATTTAAAAGGTTTGGAGCTAAAATCATCATTCTCCTCCAGTGCTATACTTAATGGTGAATGATCAGAACAGTAAGGATCCATAATCCAGACCTCCAATTGTGGCATTACCAACATCCAATCAGCATTGATCAGGTCTCTATCAATCTTACTATAAGTATGGCCATTTGTCCATGTAAAATTCCTTCCACTAGTCTTTATTTCTGTCAATCCAGTGCCTTCAATAAAATCATTGAAATCTCTTACCTCTAGTTATTGCACTAGATTACCAACTGGTCTATCTTCAACTGATCTAATGGCATTGTAATCCCCCATTATCAACCATGGCCCTTGTTGTATTGAGTGCAGCCTTGTCAGTTCACTCCACATACTTCTTCTGTCTTCTACTCTATGCGGGCCATACACAGCTATAAAAGTAAATCTCATATCCAATCTCCTAATATCTACTGTAGTGTGGATAGTCTGAGCAGTTTTACTCACCTCTTTGCACTCTATTTCATTTGTGTCCCATAACAACCATATTCTTCCTTTGCTACTATACTCATAGTTGTCTAAAGATGCCCATCCAGGTGTAATTTTCATTATAACTTGTTCAGCCTTCTGCTTTTTTATTTTATGTTCTAGTAATGCTATCATGCTTACTTTATTACTACAAATGAACCACTTTACCTATTTTTGTCAACGGGCTTTATTTAAGCCCCTTATGTTCCAGGTTACTAACTTCATACAGGTATAAAAAGGGGTTGTAGAGTACCTTCCTGCCCAGTATCACCCTGCTGTCTACCTGGTCCTCCCTCTATCTGTCTTGGCATAGCTAGCTGCAGTTTAGATTCTGCAAGTAGATTAAATCCATTGATTACATTTACTACATCAGCTGGTTGTCTTTCTCTACTTCTGGCTGCTGATTTTCCTATAACAGTCTACCACCTTTGCTCCTCATTTCCTCTTTCAGCTCCTGCACTAGTACTAGCCATTAATGTACTAGTACTAGCATTCTTTTCATTTGTAGTCTCTTTTAACTGCAATTGCTCCTTAACAGCTGGTTCCTGCACTTTGGATACCACCTTAGGTTGCCATTCCTGCTTCTGTTTTACATTCTTAGCCTCCAACTTTGTTCCACTCTGTTCAGCAACTCTACATTGGTAACCAACTTGCATGCATTTTAGTACAAAATTTAGGAACCCAATCATATGCTATTTCCTGTATAAACTCCCTTCCATTAGGATCAGTCACTTTGATAGACCCAGGCAGCTCCTTAGTAACGTCCATTTCAACCAATACCCTTGCATATGAGATCCTATCCACTTGAGTAGTACGAGCATCAGCATAGAGAGGAATTCCCAATCCACTGCTGATCCTACTTAGCGACCTCTTTCCCCAGCAATTCAAAGGCAAATTAGGATATTTCACCCACACTGGTATAGTTTGAAGAACCTCTTTATTGAAATCAAAATCACCCGACCACATTTTGACAATGATAGGCATATTATTCAACATGTGAGGCCCTAAATACAAAACTTCATCCCTATCTTCAATCGAATTGAAACGAACCACAAAATAACCATCATTATGAAAATACGCCTTAGGCTTAGCTACAAAATTCCATACTGAAGCAATGTACCTTTCCATGGCGCCTATTGTTGGACTTCCTCCAACAACATACAGTATTAACGCAAGCTTCCATTTCTGAGTCTCCTCCTCTATCTCTTCCTTACAGAGCTCCACAGTTACCTCGCCATTTTTGATAATAGGTGCAATAAAGCTAAGATCCATTCCTTTCGCCGCATAACTCTATCCCACATATAGGTTCGCCCACTGCTTCTGCCCTTTATCAGCCTCAACAGTAGGTAAACTCACTTGAGGATGAGCTACCTTCACTGCATTCCCTTTTACCCCCAATTCAATAGTAATTGGATCCAAATTCTTACCACTTGTCACCGATTTGCTTATATTTGGGCTTGCATGTATCATCGGTGTATTAGTAATCACTTTACTACTATGATCCGTCTTATCTAATGGAGTTTTCACAGTTTCCTTCGTGGTTGACAATGGCAGCCACTGTTCCATTAGACTTTTCCCTAAATCTCTTTCCAAATTGTCATTTCTCAGAATTGGAGTGGTCATACCTGCACAGTCACTTGCCGGAGTCGCAGTAACAATTCTCTTCGGTCGTCCCCTCCCCATAGATGATGGCGTACGTTAGCACATGCACTCTAACGCGCGCCTCCTCCAAGTTTTAAAATTGATGCATATATATTTAGTCCAGTCCAGCGAGAGCCATCTATATCTAATGAAACAAATATAAATCAACCACTGTGTTACCAAATGTTTCAAAAGGACTCAATTGGCTCTCTAGGTCTTGTATTTCCTATTTGTTATGAATCATAATTGGAGAGAGTGAGAAACACTAATTTAGAAATTTGTGAACAACATAGGAGAGTAGCTGAATAATAAAGGAGAATTCAAGCACTTGACCATTGAATATTTAAGAAAATACATTAGTGATCATTTTAAGTATTTAAATAAATGGGATAAAGATAATCTTGTAATTATGAACCCCGATTTACATTTAAGAAGGCAGTGTCTTTGTTACGATCCGAAATTTCTATCTTCGGGACCGTGATAACGCCTAACATTCCACTCGCCAGGCAAGCTAGCGTTAGAATGAATCTTATGCCATTTTAATCAACTATGTAATTAAAACCAATTAAACTGAAATAAGACTCGAATAATGTGCAAAAAGGTATAACAACCAATATCAAAGTACAACCCCGGATCTAGAGTCACAAGTGCACAAGCTACTAGAAGTTCTAAAAATAGAGTCTGAAATAAGTACAATTGTTTCGAATGAAATGAACAGTAAAAAAGAAAAGAGGAAGGGCACTTCAAGGTCTGCGGACGCCAGCAGATCTATCTCAAGCCTCCAAATGTGAAAATCCAAGTTGGTGCACCTCACGTACAGCTGGGACCATTACCAAGATCTGCACAAGAAGTGCAGTGTGTAGTATGGTACAACCGACCCCATGTACTTCGTAAGTGCAGCCTAACCTCCACGAAGTAGTGACGAGACTAAAACAGTCACATACAATAACCTGTACGCAGTACAAAAAATGAAGACATGAAAGAATAATACCGAAACAAATTAAATGATTTAACACATGAATGTAACTCAATATCCGATAGAAAACCAGTAAATGCCAGAAATACCAATCATTAAAGTGTCGTATGAAAATACCGAAGCCAACACAACACAATATTAAATAGAAATACATAGATTGTTGCAGCGCATAACTCGATCCCACCGTACAATACAATTCTCCCTTATTCCACCATAATAATATCAACAATAATAAATAAATATATATTACGGCGCGTAACCCGATTCCACCGTATAATCAGAATCATTATCATAATTTACTCTTATTTCACCATATCGATCTACCCTTATTTTACCTGTAACAACGCGCAACCCGATCCCACCATATAAATATAAATTCACTCTTATTTCGCCATATCAATCTACCCCTATTTTACCTGTTGCGGCACGCAACCCAATCTCACCGTATCAATATAAATAAATCAATAAGTGCAATTAATTTAACAACTTAAGTCATAAAGAGTCCTCTACGATTAATGGATATGAGGCAAAACCAGAAAGGAAATCTCGTCTCGAATTAAGAATCCACTATAATGAATACTCCCTCTGTTCCAGTTTATGTGAACCTATTTCCTTTTTGGTCCGTTCCAAAAAGAATGACCCCTTTCTAAATTTGGTAATAATTTAGCTTAAATTACAATTCTACCCTTAATGGGAACCTTTTATAACCACACAAATACTCTAGGCCCCTTTTTGACTGTTTTAGGACCACAAATTCCAAAAGTCTTTATTTTTTCTTAAACTCCGTGTCCAGTTAAACATGTACACATAAATTGGAACGGAGGGAGTACTAAACAGCAAGACAATTCAAATAAATGACAACTAAGGTACAAGTAAGTCAATTAAGGGAAGTAGCTGTAAATCATGGAAGCACGGGAGAATCTAACATTTTTAACACAAGAATAATAAATGACAAGTAGCAAATAAAGGCATGGGAAGCATTTAAGACACATAACAGTTAAAGCATGAAATGAAATAATTAATAACATGCGAAAAAATAGGGAAACACGTATTTTTGGCAGCGTATATACACTCGTCACCTCGCATATACGCCGCTACACATGAATTTCACATAGCACATAGCTCAAGGGTTCCTAAAATCAAAGTTAAACCCAACACTTACCTCACTCCGCAATCAACTCAAAGTTCAACCACGACCTTGCCTTTCGAACAAGCCTCCAAACCAATCAAATCTAATAAATTATTAACCAAACGATTCAAAATAAGCTTTAGAAACTACTCACGAATGAAAGAGATTCGGTTTAGATCAATTGAAAAAGTCAACAAAAGTCACCTCGAACCGGCTTGGTGAAAACTCGAAATTCGGACCACCGATTACCCATTCACCCCGAGCCCGATTATGTAATTAGTTTCAGAATCCGACCTCAATTCAAGGTCTAAATTCTAATTTTACAAAAATCATAAATTCTAACCAAATCCCCAATTTCTACTATGAAAATCCTAGATTTAATGATGAAAACTTATGAAATGTATTGGGTAAATGAATGAAAGTAGATTGAAGTTGCTTACCAAAGAAATTTGGAGGAAAAGCTCTTGGGAAAATCGCCTCTAAGGTGTTTAGGGTTAAGAATTTGAAAGAATGAGCTAAAATACAGTCTATCTCAGCTTTTGACCAGGCCCAAATATCACAATTGCGACCTGGATTTTGCAATTGCGAACCCCGCAAATGCGAGACATACTTCGCAAATGCAAGAAAGCTCCATCTCTGCTATCATTGTATATGCGATGATTTGTTCGCATATGCGAACTTTGGCCCTCCGCAAATGCGACCTTTTGATCGCAAATGTGATCCCTTGCTGACCAGCCATTCTTCGCAAATGGGAGGAAGTGGTTCGCAAATGCGAACCTGACAGGGATTTAAAGTTCGCAAATGCGAACATTGACCTCGCAATTGCGAGATCAGAGGCTGCACCTTAACTGGATTTTCACCTGCTATTTTTCTTAAGTTCAAATCGCTCTGAAGTCTATCCGAAACGTACCCGAGCCCTCGGGACTCCAAACCAAACAAGCACACAAGTCATAAAACATCATACGAACTCACTCGCGCGATCAAAATACCAAAATAATACCAAGAACCACGAATCAGACACCAAAAGAATGAAATTTTCAATGAAACTTAAGAACTTTTATTTTAACAACCGGATGTTCGTATCACGTCAAATCAACTCCGTTTTGCATCAAATTTTGCACACAAGTCATAAATACTGAAACGGACTTGTACCAAGTTCTGAAACGAAATCCGAACACGGTAGCAACAAAGTCAAACTACGATCAAATTGAAGAATTGTTTAAACCTTTAAACTTATAATTTTCAATAAAATGCGATAAATCAAGCTAGGAACCTCCGAATTCGATTCTGGGCATATGCTCCAGTTTTAAATTACGATACGGACCCACGGGGACCTTCAAAATACAGATCTAATTCTGTTTACTCAAAATATTGACCAAAGTCAACTCGAATGGGTTTTAAAGCACGATTTTACATTTTAATCAACTTTTCGCATAAAACATTTTCGAAGAAGACACTAACCATGCACACAAATCGAGGAAGGCTAAATGGAGCTATTTAAGGTTTCGAAACATAGAATTAAATGTTAAAACTCTAGATGACCTATCAGGTCATCACATTCTCCACCTCTAAAATAAACGTTCATCCTCGAATGGACATAGAAAAGTACTTGGACTGGTAAAAATGTGTGGATATCTATTCTGAATGTCTGACCCGGACTCCCAACTGGCTGCATCGCTCGGCTGACCTCTCCACTGCATTCAAACTGAAGGATAACTCTTGGACCTCAACTATCGGACCTGCCAGGCTAGAATAGCCACCGGCTCCTCCTTATAAGTCAAGTCCTTGTCCAATTGGACCAAGCTGAAATCTAACACATGGGATGGATCACCGTGATACTTCCGGAGCATAGGCACATTGGACACTGCATGAACTGCTGATAGACTAGGTGGAAATGCGAGCTTGTAGGCCTCCTCACCCACTCTCTAAAGAATCTCGAAGGTTCTGATATACCTATGGCTCAACTTGCCCTTCTTCCCGAACCTCATCACACCCTTCATGGGTGAAACCCGAAGTAATACCCTCTCTCCAACCATGGATGTAACATCACGAACTCTATGGTCGACATACTCTTATGCCTAGACTGAGCTGTGCAAAGTCAATCTTGAATAATCTTTACCTTATCCAAAGCATCCTGTACCAAATCTGTACCCAACAATCGAGCCTCTCCCGACTCAAACCATCCAAGTGGCGATCGATACCGCCTCCCATATAATACCTCATATGGGGCCATCTGAAGGCTCGACTTGTAGCTGTTGTTGTAGGCAAACTCTACAAGCGGCAAAAAACTGATCCCAAGTACCCCCGAAATCCATAACACAAGCGCGAAACATATCCTCCAATATCTGAATAGTGCGCTTGGACTGTCCATCTGTCTGGGTATGAAATGTTGTGCTCAACTCAACCTACGTGCCCAACTCACGCTGTACTTCCCTCCAAAAATGCGAGGTAAACTGCAAACCTCGATAAAAAATGATAGACACGGGCACACCATTACGACGGACATCTCGTGGATGTAGATCTCAG